GAGAGAGAGAGAGAGAGAGACGGCAGATATTACTAACCGATAACTAGCATAAACGATGCATAAACGAGAGGAGCGTTTAACACGCGTAGTTGTTAACGCACTACCGCGCACGTTGTTTAGATCCTTTGAAACGCAAACGCTGAATTGATGATGATTGATACCTTTCGTCTGTTGCTCTACGTTTGACGTCAATACTGATACTTCGCACTTGCCATTCACGATGTTTGCTTCCAATTCAGTTTTAGTTAATTAATTTATTTTAACCAATTCAAAGTTATTTGACTGACTCTAGACTTTTTTAATCGAGGGACGCGAATTCAGGCGCGACGAGTTTGATCTAAAAATAATCAATTAGAAATTCTCAGTGATTACTGAGATTGTGTGATTTATGGATTGTAGTGAGATTTAAAAAAATCATTAGGAATTTCTCCGCTACTTAGTTTGATAGAGCAGTTAGAATGTTAGTCAAATTTGACTTGCACCAATGATTTGGATATTATTTGGGCATTCGGCACATGGATAACCAACTGCCGAACTGATTTCATATGACCCGGCGTTGACAAACGCTAGTCGTAATTCCGTACAGCCGATTTCCGCAGATTCGATCGGACGAGTTTCGCCGATCGTCATCGGCACAACGTGATGTAAGTATAACGACATCGTGTAAAAAAACGTACAGCTTCATTCTTAGAACTAAACGCAACACATATTCAATCTAGCACGTGACAATCCTCGGCACACCATCGATACTTACATTCATTAATCAAATAGCGATTGTCTTCCTCTTAACATTTTTGCGACGACGAACAACACTTTGCAATGCTTTTTCTTTCGATGGATTCCGAAAAAACACAAAAATCCCAAGCCAATCTCACGATTTTCGCGCGCATTCCAAATCCGTCCAAAAAAAAAGACCTTACAATTTTTCCATTCACGACAATTACAAGACAACAGCGGGACTTACTCCTGCACGGACAAGAGGTTATAATAATCCCGCTGCTGCTGCTGCTGCTGCTGTTGATCGGTCTGCCGCTGTTGCTGATGATGCTGACGGTGGAGCTGCGAGACCGAGGAGGCGATTTGCACGCAGGTGTCGTGCACGGTGCCATGGTGCTCCTGATGGTGGATGCGCGGCTGCAGCTCCTCCAGCGAGATGAATTCCTGCGGTTCCTGGGCCGTCGCCGGATGCAGGAGCTGCGTGTAGCCCTGTGCCATTTCCTGCGCCACCATCTCCCCCCGTCGCTGCCCCGTCGTCGTGCTTCCGGATCCGCGAAATCGCAGCAGATCGTCCAGTTCCGGTTCCGCCGACTGCTGCTGCTGCTGCAGCTCGCAATGACGCTGATGATGATGAGGATGCCGCTGATGATAATGGAGGATGCGGTCGTTCACACAGGCGCCATCGCCTGCGGCGACCAACGCGTCGTCGTTCTCGACGACGCCACCGCGACTGCGGTCCGGCAGTGGACCACCCTCGTCTGGAGCACGATAGAACGGTTGGCCTCCGAAAGAATCTCCTCGCCCGGAGAAGGCGCGGAAAAAAAAAACGCCCACGACGTGCGGAAACTGAGGAGGGAGTTCGCCGGCCGAATCGAGGTCAGTTTCCCGCGAAAAGGACCGCGCGACAACTTTATCGCGAGCGGTCGCGCGACAATCCGCAACGCGCGCTATCCAATTAATGAATCGGTGTGCTCTGCGAAATTACAGGCGTTTTAGACGACCGTGTTTATGATAATTCGCACGGAACGGCACGCAAGAAGCGTGTTATTTACATTTTCAGGCTTTTATTAGATCTCTTTACGTGACTTGTAATACTGATGCAGCGCGCGAAGAAATTTGCGTAATGCGAAACACGGCGGGGCTCACTATCGGCGGACAATCATCTAGGTAGCCGGGGCATAATTATCCACTTGCGCGGACCCGGTGCCGATGCAAAGAGCGACTTTCCAAACCGGCAGTCCCTCATTTAAACGGTCGATTAATTTCCAATCCGTCGATTCAGCGAACGCCGCAATTGACGTACTTGCTTCTCGACGATATATCGCGACATATCAAAATAGTCAAAGCAGTGAGCGAAAAATATAAAAATTAATCCGATTCTATTTTCTTCTTCACGACGTCACGCACGGCGTCCGTAATTAGATATTTTCCAGCTAATCTAATTTTGAGGATTCGGAAAGTATAATATATCGCGTCATAATCTCGGAAGCGGACAAGATAAATCTATCGCGCATATGCGCAGCAATCTTCGGCCTCGAATGACAGCTCGTCAATGTCACGATCGGTTCGACACGTATTTCTCCGTCAACAACGCGTAAAGTTATTAATAATAGCGCTTATTAACAATAACGACCGGTGTCACTGTCAGAAGAGAGAGAAAGACGTGTCTACACTCTTCTAGGACGTCGCGGGAGCGAAGACTGGTGTTGAGTCGTCGAGGAGCCAAACGCGTAAATTACACCGGCGAGGACTAGATGAAAACGCGAAAGGCTGATGCCTCCACCTGCATTAATACTTTCTCGTTCGAAGAATCTCAAACGCGCATCATTGTGGCGCATTAAACGAGGGAAAAGACTCACAAAGGGCTTTGCGCAAGATCGACTCTGGATCGGCAAGAACTGACGGACGGACGACGAAATCGGCAATTAATCAACGGTTTGCGCGCGCAAGCCCCGTGGCGAATCATCCGCCTTCGGACGCGCATTAATTGCTACCTCGCGCTGCTGGCTGCCAGGCAATTCCGCATTTTTATGACATTTCGCTTCGCGGCTTTTATTATCGTATACGCGGCATATTGTGCGATACAGACGACGACAGCTCTTGCGAGAGAGCGCTCGCGGGAAACCAATGTTCCCTGCAGAACTTCGCCCGAGATTCAAGCGCGCGCCAATTCAGAAACAAGTTCCGGGGTTGAAACCGCGATGCAGAAGAAAGATACGTTTCCCCGCGCGATAATATTTCAGATGCATCTCCGACTCTACGCGGCGTTGCTAAACACGAATCCTTTCACTTTCGTATCATTTTTATACAAAAATACGACGAAATTACGACAATAAAATCGTAATGATGACGCAAATATTATTTTAAATACGACTGTCGTAAATGTCACATTTAAATGTCTTCATGAAGCCTCGATAAAAGCGTAATATATTAACATGTAATTAATAACGATTTATATGATTATTAGGAATAACTTGCGGACGATTGTTAGTAATTTTGCAGGCGCGAAGATTTATGGGCGCGTCTTCGAATTAAAATAACTTGTCCATCCCCGCATTTTTACGGAATGGGAAGCTTTCTATTCTGTCATGATTAATCACACCGATGATTCCTCATCGTAAATTGAACGTCATTTATGTTTCGCAAACCAACTCAAGTGTCAATGATTCCTCAGAGCTCACGTGATTGATGGAAATTCACCTAAAGACAGTAGAGTGTTACATAAAAATTAAGATCTATGCTTCATCGCCTTCAGCACCTGATTTACCGCATCTAATGACGCGTTAAAACTTCCTGAGAATGCAATCGCGTGACGATTGAGATAATAGCGGCAATGACATTAGCTAGGAATTGCGCGCGACCTTCGATAACGTTGCGCTTCGTAGTAAGTACTTTATCAGTGTAGAAAATGATGACGCCACTGGCATACCGAAACAAAAGAAAACGATAATACCTGTTGCGACATCGGGAAGCGTAACGTCGATAAAATAATATCGTCAAACCGAAGGATTATTGTTTGAATGAAAATTGAATTTCTTGTGCCGGCAGAAGGCGATCAAAAACGGAGATGAGACAAAAGTGCGGAAGAAGATATTCTTCGCGATGAAGGACTCGACGCGACGAAGCTATCCGTGTGCGAATTCCGCACCAACGTGACAATGAGAAAGAAGACCTGTGGTGACGAGATTCTCCGATATTTATTATTGTAATAGTGCGTCCGATGATGCATCGATGAAAATCGCATCCGCTGACGATGACGACAGCGCGCGATATGTCACTGACACAAGCTCCTCACGAAGAAGAATCCAATTCGATAAAAAAGCACTTCTTATTCACTTGACACTTTAACTGACTCTGCTTAAGGATCAACTATCTGCAGTCTATAAATTATCGCTTTATTGATGTACAATGACGATTTAATTTGGCAGAACTGTGCGAATAAAAATACGGATGGTCGTTCTCGATAAGTATTATTCCGCCGACAGGCGGTCTAGAAATGTAAAGTGATATTTGCCGATACAAAGCGCGACTTTTCAAAACCGACAGTCTCTTGCTTAGGCGATCGATTCATTTCTAACGAGCCGATTCAACGAACGCTAAGTGTCGCCCAAAAAATCCATATTAATCCAAATTAGTAAATAAACTAAATATTAATTAGCAATATAATGTGCGAAGCGTGCGCGAGGATTACGCAATAGAATTCTGCATCGGATATTTCGGGACCGACTTCTCCGAAAAAGTGTGAAAAAATCGCGCAAACAAATCTTACCACAATAACTCTGAGATATTCGTTAAAACAGAACCGAAAAGTAAACTGACACGTCTCATTTAACGATCTCTTATTTGAATGTTTCCGGCATTTCCGGGTGACGCGATAACAATAACTCCGCACATCGCGAGCATTCGCGCGTCGTCGCGAGAAGCCACTTACCAAGAAGCGCGTACATTCACGTCGTCGCCGACGACGAGGAGACGGCGGCATCCTCGGGGAAGCCAGAAGGTCTGTCACCTTCCCTCTTGGCGGGCGATGCCCCCGCACGCCGACGATCGAGCCTTCCCGACGGTGGCGGAGTCGTGCCGGCCGATTCGAGCGGTATCGCGCGAATTTCCGCGCGACGCCAAGGGGATGTCCGCCAATTGGCCTACGAGGAGACCGGAAATGACGATAAAAAAATTGGGACCGGCGTCGAGATCGGTATCTTGATCGCGCGTCTCGATCGGCTGAGCGAAGCTTAGACCGGAGAAGATGTCTTTTCTCGAATCCGCGCGACAGACAACGAACCCGTCGACAGACACGTCGTTCGCTTGACACTGAGAGCGCGGGTGGGTGATGACGCTGGTTGATGGTGGTGGTGGTGGTGGTGGTGGTGGTGGTGGTGGTGGTGCTGGCGGTGGTGGAGGTGGAGGTGCCCACGCCGACGACGACGGTGACGGCGGCGAGAGAGGTGTCGTCGTCAGCGACGATGCCGTCGGATACACCGGGTATCCAGCCGCGACGGATACCACGTGGTTGCGCGACACAGGTGGGAGTGACTAAAGCCGCTCTGCGCGAGTCGCTCCCGCGACGACGAGTCCACCCCCCACGTCGGGGTGGATGCATCGCGGGAAACTCTTTCGGCCGCGGCTTCTTCCTCGGATTCTTCGTCAGATATAGATCGATTGGTCGCGTGACGGAAGAATGTCCGGCGTTCGTGACAAGAAAAACTCGTGGGGTGAACATTTTTACACAAATTTATCGGAATTCGCGAAATGCGGATCAAACTCGAGCTTATGCGTCATTTATAGTTATCTTCTCTTTACGCAATATCAACTCGGTACCCGCTGTACTGTAAACCTAGCTCTGTTAGGAAATCCATGAAAAATGTATAATGATATGCCACTGCTTGTCAGTGTGAACCATAATTAGACCGTCATAACCTATCAAAGTAATTAAATAATAAAAAGATAATAATATCGTCTACGGAAGAAACGTGTTGTTAAGAGTCGTTACAAATTTGCATATCCAAGTTTATTAAAAATATCTTATGATGATTTTTTTCCATTTGCCCAAGTTAAGAATTTATTAATAACAACTGGTAATCATTATGTAACATAACTTGAGTGTATAATTTTGAGTATTTTTAATTTGCGTCTGACTCTTTAAGTTTTGCTATCCTTTCATTAATACTTCGATAAATCTCATATGATTCTCCGACAGCCGACGGTTCAAAAATTATTATTTCATTGTCAGCAATTAATTGCCAAGAATCATAGATAAACGTAGAATTAAATGCATAGAATATTCACATATTGATATCAATTTTTTTGTAAAAAAATTTTAAAAGTATATAAATTCCAACTTTTCCATGTCCTCGCGAAGTATTAATCAATGCGCAATATTGCAACATATAATACGTAACATATGTGAGATATATGCATTTGCTTAAAGTCGATTAAGTAATATTTATTACTTTAACATCTTATATCAACTCAACTAATATATAACTTAAGTAAAATTAATATCTTAATGTCACATATTATGAAGAAGCAAACGGTCGATTATTTTTCCCTCGTGCGATTATTTTTCATTTCTAGGTGTTTATTTCTTACTTTAAATAAACGCTTGAAATGATTAGTCTTCGACCAATTGCTTTATCTTTTTGCGCACAATTTGCTTAGTATTAATAATTGTAAACGACGCCATTTGCAAGTAATTTTTAATATCGCTCTAAATTCTAATAGGCTTTTTTCCCCGCAATGCGGAAGTTTTTGTTAATTGCTGATAAGAGATTCAGAATCAATCTCAAGTGTTATATCAGAATCAATCTCTCAGTGTTATATCAATCTCAGTAACTAAAGTGTAACTATCAAAAGTGTGTCAACTAATAATATTATTGACATTAATTATTGCTTTACATTGGCATTAATAAGTCGACTCTCAACTGACCACAATATAGATCGACATTTTAATTCCGACGTTTTGCTCAACAGTAACCGGCATTGGTCCAGCACTTGGTAATATTTTATTGCACGTAACATAGTGCGCAAACCGTGAAAGTGCAAGGTATCCGCAGCATCGTTTTTGAGCATCATCGCACATCAAATCCACGCAAATTTTAATAATAAAAAAACCGAGACAGCATTCATCGACGATCTCAATAAGTATGTTTTCCATTTCTTTCTCAAACTTTAAAAAAAAAAATGTCGAACGCGGATATTATAAATGTTGAGAATTACACGAATGTGCAATAAACTACCATTAAAGAAAAAAAAAACTTTGTTATAAAGAATTGCAAATGTTTCTTCCAAACATTCAAAATTCAGAACAATAATCATCATCGAAATACTTTGCAAATATCGCGTTTTCTCGATCGGCGATCGATGAAAAATATATGCGCGTGCGCATGCATAGGTGCCCGGTTTCCGTAATTGCGTCTTTCACCCTCTAAACCCCCGCCGTCGAGATTTCGCGACCGAGCCGATTGCACTGTATTAATTAGCGCTAATTACACGGAGATAAGCCTGTCTCGGCCGCGCGCATCTGTACGGCCGGATTCGTTTAGCAGCGATAATTGTTATCGTCAATACGCTTGTGTGTGATACGGCTCAGTCCATGATCGGCATAGTGACGTTTGAAGTGACCACCGTCCCTGCTCTCAAACTCCCCCCCCCCCACTTAAATCTGCCTCGTCCACTCATTAGCGTGATTTTTCGGTAGATCAACCCCTCAACGATTAATTTACAGTGATTTCATAGCGCTCTCTCCGCGAACGCGAACGCGCGCTTATCCAATTATTCGGCGAGAAGCGTCGTGTTTTCAATAACGATCGTCGACCTTTGTTAGCGCTCGCCACATCGTCGTCGCCGAAAAAATTTGGGAATAAAAGGGCGCAATATTTTTTTTCCCCAGGGTGAGATGACGCACTTTCCACATATGCGTCATTCGGCGAAGCACCAGCGCACATCGTCGATAAAAACGATTTGAAATATAATTTCTATACATATGTTAATGTTATTAAAATTAACAAGTATTATCAAAGTTATCAATATTAATCAAATGCCTCTCGTATTCGAGTATCGTTTTACTTCGATTATCGCCGAGAATGTCGATTATATTCTCGAATTCCGAACTGATCGGTGATTCCGAAATTCGTTTCCTAACATTGATTGGTAAACTGACACTGACCACATCCTCCCGTAACACAATACTTCTTCAGAAATAACTATAATCATTCTGTCATCTTGTCTCAGTGACGCTACGTTGCTTTAATTTTATTATTTTCTCCCTCGACAATCAACCATTGCATTAATGTAATATCGATTAATGATATTACTTTATTCGGAAATTAAAATGTTAAATAACTAAAATCTTACCTTCAGATTCGTATCGAGCCCTTCCATGCGTCCATTCATTTGGCTGGACCGTATCGCTGCCTGTAAGCAAACCATCACGAAGCATCGAATTATTCAATCTTAATTGATTCGTCCGTCGCGCGAATTTTTATAATTGGACGTCTGCCTTCCGCGACGATTTATCGTTTGTGTACGCGAAAGAAACAAGACGAGTATACTTTACGCCCAGATGAACAAGACGGCGAATTAAGAAGAAATTAAGATTCAGTAACGATACAAGGAGAGACAGCTAACGATATATTTCAAGTAAAATAAAAAAAAATAAACGCCGATTATTTGTTCGAAATATATATATGTGTATATAATTTGCAATCAAAATTCAATTCACTGCTAAGAAATAATACGACTTTATTTATTCGCAAATATAATTTATCGTAATATGAAAATTATTCAGTGAAAAATAAATATTCTCTCCGATATAGAAATAAGGGTCAGCGATTCTGTGCACAATGCGAGCGCAGTAACGAGGTTTGAGGATTACGCCAGGTGCACCGATCACTTGTTAGGATCTCATCCTCCATTGTCCCATTAGAACGAACATCTGCGCTCTCAAGAATCAAATTCGACTATATTTGTAAGAGGGTTCTTAATTTTCACTAAACTAATACAATAAACGAATATGTATCAAACAATTTCTGTTTTTCAGATTGTCAAAGTGAAGAGGATACGGAATTTGACCGAAATGTTTTTATATTTTTACTCTGCATTAATTAGACACTTTTTGCATCTCGACATCCGCGTTTCCGGTTTTCATAGCTTTTTCTCTGTTGTTTTTTTAACTTTCTGCGTAATACGAGAAATTTTCATTTAAAAAGTATATATTTTTATTCTATTTTTTCATAATTGTAAGTCAATTTTTTATGACAAAATGAAAATTGAAAACTTTACATAGAAGACAAACGTACCTTCAAATCTGCGCCGGAATGTCTTACATATCCATTCGTGCGACCTCATAGCACCGGTGTCTGCAAGGAAGAGAAGAGAGCACATTATTTTCCGTATAAATTCATCGTAAAATTCCAAATAAGGTAAACAAATAAAAACAATTTTTCCGGCGGAACAAAGCTCTTCGAGAGTATTCCGCGAGAAAGCATCTTCAAACACGCGCACGTAGTGGTAACACATTCGCTTGTTTTCCGCGAAAACGCGATTGAATGCGAGTTATGTAACGCCCACGGCCAATATAGCATGAAACAATTTAATCACATAATTATATAAACATCATCAGCGCCTGGGCTTGACAGATTATGCCTTGCCGACGTCCCCCGTCGTAA